CTGTGTTCACAGCCTGGACTCTAAATGTACGCTTCAGGAAACCTCTTTTATTTGAATATCTCTGTATAAGGTTTAATGTGAGATGTACCTGGCTCGTCTGAAAGCTACTAAAATGATTACACAGGAGACAGGGTGTGGAGGAATGCTCCCATGTACACAAGCTTCTTTATTTTTATATAAATAACATATCAATAAACGCACAAATAAAGGAAAAAGAGATTTCATATCTCATGTCATTTTCATGTCAATGTATAAAATCTGATGAGAAATAGTGCAAAAACTATACCTGTAACTGCCACAAAGCAATTACACTAATTCTTTCCCACAGGTATATATGAAATTCTGTGGATGAATGCAACCCTAAGTGCCATAGCAACACAGCAGAAACAAAAATGTACCGAGAGAGGGGGAGAGAGCCTGGTGGAGCTGCTGCAGCGTTAGGCAGGAGCCAGGCAGTGGGAGGGGAGTAGGGAAAAGACACAGGAGGCAAATCCCGCTGTCCTTACTCAGGCACAAGACCTAAAGCCAGCTGGCAGCCGTGAGAGTTGTACATGTGGCTGGAGAGCTGTAGCCAGCCCTTGTATATGTTTATAGTTATTTTCAATGGACAGCGCCTGGAAGGTGTGAAAGGATGTGAAATGCAGAGCTCAGTGAAACACTCACATACATCATGTTTGTGGTGTCCCTAGCCTCTGTTTGCCAGAAGCTGGGAAGGGGCGACAGGGGATGGATCACTAGATAGATTCCCTGTTCTGTTCATTCCCTCTGGGGCACCTGGCACTGGCCACTGTCGGAAGATGGGATACTGGGCTGGATGGACCTTTGGTCTGACCCGGTAGGGCCATTCTTATGTTAGGGTCCTTTTTCTATTTCCCATCAGACAGCAAAATCCTACCTTAGGACTTCGTGCTGCTGCCCATCACTAGTATCTGGGCATCTTCTGTGCAAACTAGAGAGGTGATGACAAAGTCTCTTGGCCATCCTGGTGTTCCAGCTCTTCTACCTTTTCAGGTGATAATAAAGCCTCTGCCTGGAGTAGAATTTCTGGGTTGTGTTTTTTAGGGAGTTGCGGTTGTTATGAAGGTCAGAAAGCAAAATGACATTCATAATGGAAAATTATAAATTTCTTTGCATATTTTCCCCTGTACAAATAGCAATTCATAGAAGTGTTCATTGTGTAAAAGTTATTAGTGACCCCCCCTTAATAAAGCAGTCGTTATGTTAGCCAGCAGCCATTAAAAAAAAGCAGACACCTTAAGAACACAGTAGCCTGAACTTTTTAACTGTCTTTCCTTCATGGCCTTAAGGTAGTTGGAGCTGGTCCCAAGCCAGTTTTCACTGACCAAATAGCAAAAGCACGGGTCTGACAACCACCAATCAAGTGTTAACACGGCAAGGACCTTTGTCTGAATGTGTATAAAAAATCTGTAAAATGTGTGTAAAACGAAGTCTTTGTACCAAGGTGCAAGGCTCTCCTTTCTTCTGCAAAATAAAGCAACTCCTCCTTATCCCTGTCTGGCTGTTATTGGCTCTCAGCTAGGTGGACCCGATATTTCGGTAACAATTACAAATATTCAAAATTCAAGCTTCAAAAATTCGACTCTGATAGGCTAGTTAGGTAAATCATATGGAATTGCTTCTGTTTCTTGACTGGATGATTTCTGTACCTAACAGCCTTCGCTGTGAATTTCAGTTACTGTATCAAAATAAACAATTCAGAATTCATTCCCACTGAAAAGTCCAGTTTCAAATTCATTTTTCACAAGTATTGGTGGTAGTAAAACTTGGGCCCCTGAATGTTTGCAGGAAGTTAACACACAGGGGTCATGAACAAAGCTTGCTGAACACGTGCTTTTCACTGGCGATGGATTTTCCCCACCATCCTTGCAGCCGCTTTGGCCAGATCCCGGCTAGATTAAATTAACCCTGTCAACAGCCAGCGGCTTAAAGCGACATTCCCACCTCTCCACAGACCTGCTCTCACCTTGGGCCCATCGACAGTGACAGGTTCCAGGGTCGTGGCCCCAGCCTGCAACAACTGCACTGTAGACACCTGTCTCTTCCTGCCAGGTGCGTGGGAGCGGGACACGGCGGGGGAGGCGAAAGGCCTCAACCCTCCCCCAATTCTGTTCCAGACGCTGGGCGCACTTGTGTTCACTTTGCTTTGGGTAATACAGCACAGAGACACCTGCACAGTTACTAAAACCCGGTCAAACATCCCCCTCGCTGAGGTGTCAAGCCCCGAGGAGAACCGCAGAGAGGGACGGGCGTGGGACTTGCTGGGCGCCCTGCTCACTGCCCTGCCGGGGGGCGCTCAGTCCCCGGGGCGATGAAGAGAGCCGAGGGGACACGGAGCTGCAGAGAACAGGCTGGGCGATTCCAGGGTCTTGGCTTTGCCAGGATCAACCAGCCCCAACCCCTGGCCTGTGCACGTCTGCGACTATTGACCGTGTATCGGGGAAGCACCGGGGGGCTGTGCAAACCCGCCCCTGACAATCCTGCCCCACGGGGCTCCCTGGCTCAGGCGCGCAGAGCGCAGGAACTTTCTCATTCAAACCCGCCGCAGCATCCCCGGCCCTCTGGAGCCGCAGCCCCTGCCTCGCGGGGCTTCCCTGCCGGGCGTGCCAGCCAGCTGGGCTCCTGCGCCCGCCTGGTGCGCACTGCAGCGAGCAGCTGAGCCCGGAGCCCGCCTGGTGCGCACTGCAGCGGGCAGCTGAGGCCGGAGCCCGCAGGTCCCGGGCTGACAGAGACAGGCGCTGCCACCGCCCTGTGCGCCCGGGTCTGGGCTCTACTCCCGGCTCCGGGCGAGGCCTGGATGGAGGCACGCGGGGAGCCAGTCTCCGGGCTCAGACTGGCCTTAACTGGGGGGACATTGACACTGACCGCGGGCCCCGCCTGCCAGGTGAGGCGCACCCAGCAGACCCCGCAGCCAAGCTCAGGGTCCGCCCGGTGCCCCGCCAGGCCCCGTGTCCCAGCCCTGCTGCCTGCAGTGAGATGTGGGAGCAGCCAGCCCCTGACAGGTGCCGGAACTAGGCGTGCGGGGAGCTGCCGCACCCCCGGCTTGGCTTGAAGCCGTGTCCATCCGACGCAGGGTTCACGGTTTGGTTCAGTGGCTCTGGGCACCCACTGGCTCCTGGTGTTCCCAGGCTCCCCCGGGGCTGTGGGGTTCAAAGAGGCTCTTGCGCTTCATCCGGACAGTTCGGCCTCTGCCCAGGCCCGCGGGCCGCTCTGCTCCGGGACTCGCCCCGCGGGAAACAGCCCCCGCCGTGCTGGGGCTGAGAGCGAGCCCCGAGCCCTGCACCCCCGCCCAGCAGCCTGACACCCGCCTCTCCTCAATGGGGGGGGGAGCCCCAGCTCCAGGAGCCCCCCCTCCGCCCCCTACTCCGCTATTCCTGTTAGTGCCACCAGCTCCATTAGCCGGGGGCTGTCGAACCCCCCCCCCCCCCATTACACGGCTCGGAGCAGCATCCTGCACCGCGACGGGCCTGCACCTCCGTGTGTCGGGCCAGGACCCGCCTCCCCCGGCTCGGCTACGGGACAAGAGGGGCTGCCCCGGGCGGTCCGACTCTGGGTGGGACCCTGGATTGCGGGGGTCAGTCCCAAAGCTCGGGGGGGGGGCGGTGCCACCTCCCCCCGACCAGCCCCCCGCACCGCAGAGCGCCCAGGCAGGGCCCGTTCCGGCAAAGGGCGCAGCAGCAGAGCAGGGCGCCCAAGCCTGCTCCCGCCGGGACCCACTTTAGCAAGGTCAGGCCCAGCCGCGGGGACCCCTTTGCTTGGGCCCGAGCGGCGGGTCCCTCCTGCAGGCTCCGCGGAGGGAGGAAAGCAGCCAGGGGCCCCTCGCGGCGCCCCGGCTGCTGCTGGAAGAGGCGGAGGAGGTTGGGGAAGCTGGAGACTGGAAGTTAAACCGAGGCCTTTCTTTCCCCTCGTCAATGGGGCTCTGTGATCCCTGTAGTGCCCTCTCCATGGCAACCGGCAGCATCCTGGTGAAAATGCCCCAGCGCCACACAAGGCCACAGGCCTCACAAAAGGCAGCATCTGGCCACTTTAACCAGCTTTACCGCCGGCCCGGCCAGCCCCGGCTCGCCCCTTCGGGGGAAGCTGTGAACGAGTCACCCAAGTACCGGGGCATTCTCCCTGCTGGGCGTCAGGCGCCCGGAGCTCGCTTGGTTCCCCCCCGGCCTGAGGTTTGCTCGTCGCCTGCCCGCCGGTGCCGAGAGAACAGGGCCTGGGGGAGACTCCCGAGTCTGAAGCGGTATTTTCCCTGGCACAGAATCTCTGCCAGCCCTGCCTGACCCTCCCCGGGGAAGGGAACCCCCGGCCGGCCGGCGCAGGGGGGACAGGAGCGGCGCCAGCCCGGGCCGGGCACCCGGCAGGAGGGGCCGCTGGGAGCCCAGCGCGCTGCCCTGGCCGAGTTGCCCGGGGGTGTTTGGACACTCCCCGGCCTGCCCCGGGAGCTCCTCGTCCCGTCCTTCGCCTGCCAGCCCGGGGAGCGGGAATCTCCCTTCACCCGGCCTGCGCGGCTGGGCCGGAGCCCGACGGCCGGGGCAGGGCGAGCCTCCAGCCCCCCAGCGCCCGCAGCCCGACGCCCCCGCTCCCCTCCCCACGGGCAGGGGCCCTGGACCCGGCCAAGCCCCGCCGCGCCCGGGGCACAGAGCCGCGCCGCAGGTGCCCCCCAAAGCCCCCTCCCCACGTGGCGATTGCAAACCGGCATGAATGAACCGCCTCCCGCCAATCAGAGCCCGTCCCGGTGCCAGGAGCACGCGGGCTCCCCAGCCCGAGCGCATCCCCCC